GCACCACAGCCAGTCTAGAAAGGGGCCAAATACAAGTTTAACAGTAGTCAAAAATATGCAAAGCCCAGGCAGTTGAATGTAAGGCGCAAAGGGGTTCTCTAGGACCAGGTCTTTATTCATCCTACGTTTCGAATTCCTACACAAGCTCACCTCTGTCGGGAATGGCCTTCAGCAGCGCTACTGATTTTTTTCGCTCAGGGCCTGATAAGCAGTTGTCAGATCGATACTGTGCGCAAACAGCACACTAACCGTGCCTTCGGTTTAATCGGTAACTGGCGCCCCCTTGGTGCATGACATATTTTTCGGCGTGTTGATAGTCAGTGCTCAGTTAACGCATCGCTGGATGTACGCTTAAGCTATGCCATTCGGGACAGAGTTATACGCTAGGGAAGTGTTCACATAATTTGACCATTGATCTCACTTGATCTCCCTAATTTTTCAATTAAGGTCCCAGTCATGCATTCTCTGAGTGGCTTCAACGCCTCCAACAATTTGAGGCACAGCAAGGCTCCCGGCCAACATCCACAGATGGGAGAGGTGGGTTATGGAGCCCGGTTATTGGACGGTCATCTCTGAGACACTCTGTCGCCACAGCGCAGGTTGCGACCTCCAGAACCACCCCTCCTGGAAACACTAGGCAGAGGTTTGAGAGAAAGGGCCTCGCCCATCCTCTAGAAATCATTCAGACCAACAACATCTCTGCCGTCAATAACGTGCATGCTGTTGAGATGCGTTTGGCACATGGCTACCCTTTACGTCCAGACACGAGCCTACTAGTTAGGAAACAAGCAAAGAAAATCTATCCGACATTCCGGAATTCGGACAGGCGAGGAGTTCAACGCCAGGCCCCGACAGAGACTGAGAGGTGCGGCGAGGATTGCGCGTTTCCTCAGACAACGGGTAAGTACGCAGATGGTGTATTTCTAATAAAATATTCAATTGCATTTCTGCTGCAGATGTGTAAGTAGGCGTGTTTGTTTGAATATTTAAATACAGCCACCACCTGGATGCCATTTGATTTTCGCAAGTTGGCTGATTCCTGCCGAGATCCTCCAAAGGCAAGTGAAGCGAACCCTCTCAAACCTGACAGCGAAATAAACGAAACGAAATTCAGGCTGACTTCTAGGTAAGCAAAAACCTACTTCATTTATTTACATTCCCAAATCAAGGAAGTTGGCGAAATAATTACGGTGATAACAAAAACTATGAAAATTGCGAGTGCTCATTCTGAAACAAGTTAGTGCGTCCACTTGTGTAAAAGTGACAGAAATGAGACCTTCGTTCATAACGGCACAAATAAGCACACCAAAGAAAAAGCTTCAAAATAAGTATCGCAATGACCTGCAACGATTACCGTCAAGCTAGCAGCTGATAGGGGAAGGATAGTCAACCTACAGATCCGATAGTGCGTAATAAACGTGGCACTGTGAATATATAACGCAGAAATTAGATAATTCCAGCCAGTATTTCGATCACTGCAAACGACGAAGTCCACACCGCCTCGGTCCTCCTCCCCAGACGGCGAATCAAGCTGCAATGAACCCCTTGAATTTGACCTCTTTAGCATTCCCACGTAGATTTAATCCCATTTGCCCCTTTTCTTGTTGTTAGACATTTGGGTCCATTTTAAACTGACAGTACGTGCGTGGCACGCGTAGATGAGCTTTTCAACTCGATACATTCCTGCACTCGATCTCACAGGCGGTCATCGTGACCTTCCCTTGACATCGGGTCCATGTGGGTGAGGGCAGAGGGAGTGTGATAGATACAGCACAAGTTTAATATCACTATAAACAAATTTACACGCCGTCACCGTCCACGGGCCCCCT